CTTCTACCTGTCATTAGGACTGCTCCGGTTGCTCCAGTGCTGTTACAGGTGGCGTCCTCGGCCATCACGGTCAGGCTGTAAACTTTTCCACACTGCAACTGGTTCAGCTGACACGAAGTCGTGTTGCTCCTGCAGGAAATATCAAGATGGGAGCCGCCCTCTCGAGCGTGAACAGTGTAGGCCACAGCTCCGGCAGCTGCAGCCCAGGACACTGTGGCTGCATCCGAGCCACACTGCAGGACGCTGGTCACGTTGACTGGGTCGCACGGTGCTGCAGGAACAGACAGATTGACATTAGTTGTCACACGATTCGCTCCAAGTCAAGCAAATTGTGATTCATATAGTGCTGTAAAAATATACAAACACCACCTGTCACCACAGCAGTTTGACTGGGAGAGCTGGTGCAGTGGCTGTCCTGGGTTGTTAATGTGACATCGTACTGACTGCCACACTGCAGGCCAGCAAAAGAGCACGTGAAATTGGATGAGGAGCAGGTGTCCGAGTAGCCATTGGGGCCTGTAACTGCTACTGTGTAGGCAGCAGCACCAAGAGAGGCGTTCCAGGAAACCAGAAGAGAGTTTGTGCCGCAGTCTGTCCGTGCTGTTAAGCTCTGAGGGGAGCAGGTTGCTGGAAGAAAAACACCACAGCACAGGAAATTAATCAAAGCAATAAAATATGGTTCATGGACGTAGTTATGCTTCTGTCAGCATTCTTATTACCTGTCTGAACAGTCTGTGGGGGGCTGTATGGTCCGCTGCAGCTGCCAGAGGAGGCTCTGACAGAAACATTATAAGTCTGTCCACACTGAAGGCCGCTCAGAACGCAGGCGGCACCGTCAGTGTGGCAGGTGACCGAGCTGATGTTTCCAGTCAGCGGTTGAGCAACGGCGCTGTAGTTGAGAGGCTCGGCAGCAGGGATCCAGGTGACGGTTAAGTCGCTGGTGCCACACAAGAGGTTTGTAGTGACGTTTCCCGGAGCGCACGGTACTGAAGGAGACAGAACACAGTGGGAATTAGACAAAAAAGGAGTTTCTCAATAAAACTTGCTGAGTTAGATGAGAAGATGCGACTCCTGTCTGACTATGAAGCTGCAGCCTGCAACTGTTTTGCAAAAAAAAGACGTGGAAGAGCAGCCAGCCCGGCCACCTGTTTGCACTTCTGAAGGTCGCTGATGAACACGTCATGCAATTTGGAGTCAGATGTGATGTAATGTGTTTTTTATTTTTTTGTTTCTCACTTTACTGCAAGAACATTCAGACATGTGTAATACTTCTTGCTATAATATATAAATGACTGAATCTTAGACCCGTATGTTGCTTAATCCTTTCATTTGTCACCCATCCGTAGCCAAGCCCTCATAACTGCAGACTATTCCTTAGATGTATTTAGTTGTGGGATTTTGCATGCAGATTGTGGCAGACAAGTTTAAGACAGAATGAAACGTGACAGAAGCCCTTTGTGTTACGTGATGTGGATCTATGATTGCTCTTTAACAGCTGGAAGCACCACTCATCAAACTAACAGGGGTCTTGACAACTTTCATCATCATTATCTACTGTCTTTTGGCTACAGGCTGTGTGTTTTTGTGCAATTTACAAAAGCAATCACCCGCACCTTTAGGATTCCAAAGTGCTCGTGCAAGCAAAATGGGAAAAACTGTGCCAACGTTTATTGTATTGAGAAACCTTTTTGAGGATGTTGTGGGAATCCCCACTGGAAACATTGATCTAAAGCAGGGGTGTCAAACTCTGGCCCGCGGGCCAAATTTGGCCCGCTTTGTAATTAGATTTGGCCCGCGAGACAATACCAAATGACTACTAGAGCTGCCCCGGTATTATATTGTACAGCGCATTCACCGCTAATACTACAAATCCCATAATGCCCTGTTATTGTTTTGGCGCGTCAGTCAGGACAGGACCCAGAAACTCCCTCTCCTCTGTGACAGTAGGCATAGCGACTTCACACTACAACTGTCACTGTGCCATTGATGTGTTTTTTTATTTATAATTTGATTTTGCATGTCTCCACTATTAAGTTATATATAATGTATGGTAATAAGCGTTGCTTGTTCCAAATTCAATGTTAAAGCAAAGTTTGTTTCGGTCCATATTAAAAGGTTCATTTGTTCAATGTTGGCCCGTGACTTTGTTCAGGTTTTAAATTTTGGCCCACTGTGTTTTTGAGATTGACACCCCTGATCTAAAGCCTCACCTGGCTGACAAGTGAGTGCATAAAATATTAATTCCCCATCAGAGTAAATGCCAGTCACAGAAGACGTGTGGCAGGTCTGATCAAATGTGGTCCCACCTCTCTGTCAGTACCTTGGTCTTGCCTGAAGGGGGCACTGTATTTGCTAACACAGGTGCCATCAGACGCCGCCACCAGAATATCGTAAGCTTCACCGCAGTCCAGGTTACTCAGTGTGCAGTTGGGGCTGGAGCTGTTGCAGGTGAGGGTCTGTCCGTTGCTGGTGGCTTTCACAGAGTAGCTCGCCGCGTTCGCACTGGAGGCCCAGAAGACCTGAGCGGCTCCGGTGCTACAGATCAGCCGGCTGGAAACGTTGGTGGGAGTGCACGGCTCTGGAGGCCAAAAGAAACAAACCAATGTGTGACAATGTGATGACTCTTTGATAAGACAATAAACACTTTCAGAACACTTTATTGAAATCAGTGGTGGTGGGAATTGTGTTACCTGTACTCAGAGAGACAGTGTCACTCTGTTGGCCTGTACAGTTGTCATCAGCTCCTGAAACACCGATAGTGTAAACTTCCCCACACTGGAGCCCAGGAAGGCTGCAGGAAGTTTCATTGCTTCTGCACTCCGACCTGTGACCTCTGCTGCCCACAGCGACGGCCGTGTAGCGTTTGGCGCTGTCGCTGGCCACCCACGACACGGCGGCAGGATGTGGAGCACACGTGTGAGCAGCTGTGACGTTGGTGGGAGGACACGGCACTGAAGGGACACAAAGATGAAACAGAGGTTTGAGGATGTTTTTGCCAAAGTCCCACTGCTGTGTCTGCACCTCTAATCACGATGTTCTCACATGTTTGCACCGTGACCTCTGGGCTGGGCAGGCTGAAGCACGTCTCGGTGACGGAGAAGACCGTCACCACGTAGGAGCTTCCACACATCAGCCCTCCTGTGGTGCACTGAGTCCCTGTAGAGTTACAGTGCAGAGGCTGGCCCATCCCTCTGGAGATGATGGTGGTGTAGTTCTCCGAAGGAACCGAGATGTTCCAGGTGACCGTCAGCTCTCCGGTAATGCAGGCCACACTGGCTCTCACATCGTCGGGACCACAGGGCACTGAAACAAGAAGATACAA